CGTGGCCTCCTCTCCGCAGTCTGTCGCCGCATGGTCCACTTGCATAACGTGTCTCAGCGAGCCATCACCTACTACGAGTCGCGCAACGGCGGCGCTGCCGACACGACCGCCCCACCAGGATCCAAGGGAACTGGGCCGCCACTCACTCTACACCACGCATACCAGAAGATGATGCGGTATACGAGCACACCTCTCATCGACGTTACGAAATTCGACGCACTGCTTTCGGCACTTGGCCAAGACATCCGCAAGTGTTACGCAGACTCCTTCACTGAGATTGGGAAGCGCGCGGCGGCTGCTGACGCTGCTAAGAAGCTGCAGAACCCCAACGCGCCAAAGGTCAACCAAGCGGAAGAAGCTGTCAAACGTGCCCAGACACATTGCGAGCTTAACATGCTGCTGGTTGGGAGCCCGCCGCCGCCATTCTCCCGGCTTGTGGAAAAGTTCTTCAAGGAGGACCTTGCAGCGTTCAGAACACACTGCGACCCAGCTAAGCTCTTCTTCTCGGACTACGGCATCCTAGAAGTCGGTGACGAGCCTCAGGCGCTTGCAGCACGGAAACAGCGGAATATCAGGGTCGATCTGTTCAAGCGGGTTGAGATCTTTCCGAATAAGAACAAGGGATTGACACAGGACGGAGAGCATGGAGCTGTTCCTTGGCGGAGGTGCGTAAGATGTGCTAGCGTCATGGAGGATGCAACGCATATGGCGTCGAAGCCCGGTATCGTCTTTGTGTTGAGCCAGCAAAGGAACTGCTGCTGCGGTGGGAGGTTGGCAGTTCTCGGGAAGGGAGAGCTAGTCGGTTAAGGTTCATTTGTGCACTTGACAATCAATGAGTATCAATAGTGATAGGAAGAAGTATGTGTCTTAGAATGGTAGTGATACTTTAACGAGGGCTAAACAATATAGCTAAGACAAGCACTGTTTATGTCTTATGATTCCTCACTATAATAACTATCTCATAATATTTAGCTTCTTATGATCCCACGTGATGAATGCTAGATATACCACATGATTACCTGGTAACAATAACAAAAATACAGCAGGCCAAAAAAGAAATTGCACAGAACAACCTGGTTAATGGTCAGGGGAAGAGTGGGAATTATTACCTACTGGTTGCGAGGTAGCCGGTGGGGGTGTGCCGTGGCGCGCTGCTCTTTGATTAGCATCTCCTCGGGGGATACCCCCTCAGAGCTCTCCCGGCCCGCCTCCGGTGTGCAGCAGATCCTCCAAGTTCGTCTTCGAGGTTCGTATACGGGGGGCCGGTCGAGGGGGTCGGAGTTGGCGTATGGTCCGGCGGATCGGTCTGGGGAGCGAATTAGCAAGTTGAAAACTTAACAAACCGGCCACTGAACCAGGTTGTTGCTGTGCTGTGTGGGAGGTTGCTGCGTTATTCCGCTTGAAGGGCAGCGTGTTGCCTGGTCGCCGCGCTCAGCAGCCTGTGCGTGGGTGGTTCGTGTTGCCCACCCGACTGCTTTCTGGCTTCAACTGCGGATCGATGGCTTGTTGGGTTTGTCGGAGAGGGTTGGGGTTCGATTCTCCTTTGGACCGCTCTTTGTGGGCGTTTTTTCTTGTCTTCAAGGTGCTGCTCTCACCATACGTACTGAGATTATCTGCGGGGGTTTTCATCTAAGCTTCGTCGTTTTCCCACCCGCTCCATTGAGTCTCAGTTCAGGCCATCCATCCTTAGATGATACTCGTCGATATGATGAGCGAGGCTTGGTATTTCTGATGTTTGGTCTATTCCCAACTTCACCTTCATCCCCAAGCGCTCTTTCACCCTTTGACGCATAGCCTGCACGCGGTTTCTACGATACCAAGGCCTCAACACAATCCTTTACTCCAGCCTATCGCCCAACTCTTGAATCAACGCTACATCTAGGTGGGAGATCGGCTGGAATTGTATGCTCAGCATATAGTGACTGGGTATCACTTCTCTGGTATCTACCGAATTAGGTAGACACTACATCTTTGATACACACGTTACCTGATATGCAATGATGTTATCTTGTTAATTAACAGGAAAGTATGAAGATATCACGACCGGTAGGATATATGCCTGATATGTTATGGCGAAAGCATCAATTCACAATTGAGCCTTTGAGCCAGCGTGATAGGAGATAGAGACACAAAGACGGCGCAATCAGGCTGATGACACATTCCAAATTCAATCCCAGCAACGTACCAGCATAAATTCGGGGAAAACCCGTGTTTTCATCGTTCGGGCTGACTCTTACCTTCCTTTTCGAGTTTAAATCGCTTCTGCGATGTTTGTGGTCTCTGTGATCCACATCGGCTCCGGGTGGAGACTCGACAAGAACGCCGGATGTGGTCGGCCACCTCCGAGTCGCACTTTCACAGGATAATAACATGTCTATTGTACCCAGATGTACACCATTCCGCAAAATGAATACCTGATGTAGGATCAGATACAATATCGGAGTATGTGTTTGCAAGATTAAGAGGTGTCTACTAAGATCTCCTAAATTCCGGGGCCGGGGGGGGGGGGTATCTTATGTGATTCTACTCTATGCAGGCTTCGACGATATCACTAGTGGAGAAGGTTATATTTATGAGAAACTTTCGGCAATTCAATCCATGCGCAGGGAGCGTCCCGACTTACTAGTTCTCACTGTTCAGCCTCTTGATACCACGCTCTTCCAAACCGAATCGCACGAACTGCAGCGATATTTGGGTCCTCCCTACGTCTCTGGTATTGATCCCACCTTGGATCGGATCTCCGCCCCAGAAGCGCCAAGCTCTACCACGTGCTGCTCGGTGTGTGTCATAGCTCTTCGACTACGGCATACGGCAACTTGGGACATGGTCTGGCCATGCATACAGAACTAAATGTCTATTACGAAGAGCAACTCAAGCCGATTTTTCCACTAGCTCGCACATAACGGAGTCTCGACGCTTATTCCGAGGAGCCATGGAATAACGGAGCTACCTACCAGGAGGACACGGTGAGATGCGTGATGCAAAAGATGGCTAGTCGTTCGTGATTGTGGCGTCGATGGTGGAATTCAATTACCTGCAGATGCATATTATGGACTCCATGCCACGTTATGCGTCAAGAGGTATCGAACGCGTATGGCCGTATGGGCGTAGGCGGCGTTGGAAAATTACAGCGCGCCCAGAGAGGGAGGTTTTGCTTGATGTGCCGCAGTGATGTCAATACAGCTCGGACGCCGCACGGGCATCGACTAGTTTTACAGATGTTATTAGGTGAGTATTTAGGCGAAATCTCGCTTGGGTTTTGCTAGTTCATGATGTGTTGTTGAACAGTAGGCAAAGTACGAGGTCGAACCAGGCGGGCCGGGCAGTCGGGCAAAAGCAGCGGCTCGCGCCAATATGGGAGCCTATGATGTGCATCCCGGGTCGCTCTAAGCGTCAACTTGCTCATATAATGGACCTCTTGTGGTGGGCTAACCCTTCAAACCCCTAAGATGTCACCGAACAGGGGTCTATGGTCTGTTGGCACTCTTGCGCATGCGTGTAAGTGTGTGCTTGAGAACTTGGAAAATGTCAAGATTAATCCCTATGTTGAGCCGGACGATCTTATCAAGTTCTGTTCTGTATAGCCTGAACCTGATCCGCATCACTCTTCCTGCCGTTCTCTGAATAGCTGTTTGGCAGCGTGTCAGTGTTGAGCCAGCTACTCTTCGAGAAGAGCGCGCGCCATAATGACGAAGCAGCAGTTTGACAAGGAGTTGATGTGCACTTGAACACAGTCGGTCCCTTTGCTGAGTGTCTTTCTGCTTGTCTCGGTGCTTTAAGACGCAGTTCAAGTGCAAAGTCTATTCCTGCAAGGGCATTCAATCGCTATCGCAAGTGTGCTCGCTTCTTGTATGGGCGTTGAAAAAGTTGACCTTGCTAGGTCTGGTAAGTAGGAACAAGCGGTATCTCACCGGAAACACTGGCTGGCATCTTCAACCGGACCTGTTTCCGGTGGCTAATCCCCTTTTCTTCCGAGGTTATGGGAGTGGTTTCGACATTGCATTAGAGTCGGGACCCATAGTCACGGATCCTCCAGGCCTGGGCCAAATGTATGTGGTCATGATTTCAACTCCTAGACATCCCTATGCTTAATCGAGAACATGAAAGCTTTTAGATACCGAAAGAGGTCATCATGCATCAGTGTTTGCACTCCGCATCCGTTATCAGACGACAATTTCTTGCCGTTGCCCTACTGCATCTTTGTTTAGTAGCATTCAAGTACGCATAAGTGTACAGCTCTGGGAAATCATCGCGACCCGAGGCGGTCTAGATGGAGATAGTCTCTCATTCGTTCTCTCATTGACGACGCAACTGTTTGCCATCGCGAGGGCCATTCCCAGGAAGGACTTGGCTAGTAATCACCGTAACACGGCAATGCTGCTACATTTCCAAGCCAAGCTCCAGCGCCGTCGCCATACTGAATCTTACTTCTGGACGAAGCAACTAGTAGCCCGGGCACCGAGACTAATATAAAGGTTCGGGAGTTGATCAGACACGAGTTCCACGACTCTACCGACCAAGACAATCATATATCGGATGAAGGACAATAAAGACCCGGATATGGTGGGTACAGTTGAAAATGGGCAGATAGTGCAGTTGGTCCGCCAGCGAGAGTTCTTAGCACCATTAGTAATAGACAGGACACACGAGTACGAATATATACCGCAGCGCGATGCTAAAATCCACGTTCTTCCTCAAAACAAAAATTAACAATATCTATCAAATCAGAAGTGATAATGAACTACACTTCTTAGCCCGTGTTCCAGAGATGCAGGGCAGTGAATGCGGGCGGGCGGGCGGGCGGTCTCTATATAGGTACGTACAGAAACCCCACGTCTGGAATCCTTAAGTGTACGAGTGGCTTTTGCGACCGGCTTTCCCGCTCTTTCGTATACAAGAGCCTTAACACTGGGCCTACTTGTTGATGGAAGCGAGAAATATAAAAACAAAACCCCCCATCAAATGCCAAGAACTTCCACCAGCACAGAAAAAAATTCAACTGGAGAAACGGCGAATTGAACGCCGGACCTCTTCTATGCTAAAGAAGCGTTATACCACTAAACCATATCCCCGTTAAGGTGTTTCTCAGAACTTGTTGAAGAAAGCTGCGCTTATCATTAACTATGACATATTCACGCTGTGGGCGGAAATTCCCATGAGGCTAGGGCAGAGGACGAGGACCCCGGTCTCATTCCAGCTGTGCTACGGTTAGCCGCTTGACATAAATGTCTCATGTCTCCACCCTTCTAAAAGTACAGCCGAGAAACTGCACAGCCACACTTAAGATCAATGTCACTTGTCGTACTGTATCAAAAGAAAGGGGTGCAACCCTCATACAGGCTACCATTCACGTACTTGTCGATATGGGCTGCCCTTTATGCACTTGGTGGGTACCTACTTCTCAAGTTAAGACACGTTTACCGATTCTTACAACCAATCTTTGCATAATGAGTCAACAGGATATGGTTGATAGTGGTGGCTGATGTGTGGTGGCAAGATCGGAAACTCCGCACTGCACGACATTCACAAGCCACGCTATAGCCATCTTACTGTGGTACGTGATACCGCGTTAAGCTTTGTTGTGTTCGATCTTCCGAGGAACATGACAGGACGATAAGTAGATAGACTGGAAATAGGGGGTTTGTCTATAATACCTTTCGTTTTAGAAAGGATCAGATAGAGATGTTACTTCGTAGGGGTAAATGGTCGTCTTCCATGGTGTTGGTACCAGGACTGTGTTAGCCAGTCGAGCTCCCTTGACTTATTACGATATCAATAATCGGCACATCTCTCTGGAATCAATATCCCTTTGTGGCAGTGTTTGGTAAGCCTCGGTTTCATGGTCTTTGTCTGTCGAGACAATGACGGGTTGCAAGCTTCCCATTAGAATGATGACATGTCCTTAATTGAAATACTCTATCATCCAACCTGAAAAACTGCGCCAATCTTAAAAGAGTCAGCTACTGCCCATCAATCATGCCGGCTCAGACACGATCAATGTTGAAAAGGGGAGGTCTTGACGCACTTCACGGCAATACAAAAAGGTCGTGCCGTGTCGAAACGGGAGGCAAGGTTCCTAACATGATGAATACTCAATCTCCGACCAGCCCAAAAGGAGTGGCTACGACAGCCGGCACACGTCAGGTATAATCCTCCAGTCCCCAGGGTGATCACATCAACTGACCGATGCCTAGAAATTAAGTGACGACGTTTTCTGGCACCTGGCACGGTTTTTTCTCGATATGCCATCTGATGTCTTCCACTTAGCTCTCTGCAGCCGCCGCTTATGGAATGTGTTGGACTTCGAGTTGTACCGTACCCACGTCCAGTGGACCGAAGTCTCTTTCCATCGCATGATACGTCCTACGTTCGAAGGCAAGCGCTGCGATTGGACACCACCCTCCCCACATAGGAATGGTGTGGATATCGACGGCTCCAATTTTTATGAGTCGTATCGATGTCGCTTCCCAGGAGAGGCGTCGACAGGATGGAAGGAGTTGCTGCAGCTTGAGGGTATTGAGACAGCCCTCCACCGGGCCGGGTCTACAGGCAACGTCATGATGGCGAAGAAGGGCATAGATGCTGCTAAGACGTTCTGGCCGGGCTATCTCAACCTTGAAGATGCGATGGGCTTTTCGCCCTTGGTCCTCGCAATCAGGGGCGGTCATCGGGAAATCGTCCAACTCCTAATCGATGAAGAGTACTGTGACGTGCATTCACCGTCGAATTACGCGTGCTGGTCTCCCCGTCCCTTACATGAAGTCATCAACCACGTGGCTGCACCGAGTCTGCACACACACCCAGCGCGGGGGTATAATCTTGGGAGGAGAAGGCCCGATACATTTATGATTCCGGAAGGCGATATGGGTCAGCCCCTGTTTATACTTGACCCGCTAGGATTTGCAATTCTATCAGATCATGAAGACATTGCAGTACTGCTACTTTCGCGCTACCACCAAATCCTAGAGCAAGTGCCGTCCGAGTTTATAGTCGACGATACAGTAGACGTAAAATGTTTCTCGCGCCATGGCAGCCGACGGTCATCAAGGAGTGAAGAGTACATGGATTCATTTGTTTACATGTATGTCAACGGGCATCAGCCTTCAGATTACTGGGACAAAGACCGCAGGCTGGTTGATGATTTACATTTGGCAGCATTGGCGGGCATGACGTCGATAGCTGAAGCCCTCATATTGCATTCTGATCCACTGGAGTCGGCAAATTCACCTTCTTACCACTTCCACGACTGCACGCCGCTGCATATGGCCATGATGCGTCCTGGCACTGGGGGAGTCATTCGTGTCCTCGAGAAGTATGGAGCACAGACACTTGATATGGACGATCAGGGCCGTTCTGCCATACAATATGCCCTAGATTTCAAGCAACCCAGCCATGTCAAATGGCGCATCAGTGCAAGGGATCCAGTTGATTGCTGGAACCTCGGTATCGCTCGGCGTAATGCTGTCTATTTCACTCAGCCTCGTTGTCCTATGAAAGCCTGCATGGAGGACGATTTATTCTTCGAAAGCACGAAAGTCATCTTAGATAACTTGTCGGATCCGATTTGGGATTCCTGCAAGAAGCCTGCGATGGAAGTTGTCAAGTTTTGCGTTCAGGCGGCACTGAGACATGGAAAGAACAACCATAAAACACTCGATTTCATCATCCGAAAGGGTATAGGTCTCATGCCGTTCACAGATGCAGAAATATTACAACTTGGTCCCGACGGGGCCGCACATAAGGATTCTGGTGCGGCGGCGATTCATCGGGCAGCGAACTCGAAGAATCTGCCCATAGAACTCTTCGAGCTTCTATTAACGACGAGGAGTAAAGAAGTCGACCTTATCAACCTAGCAACCGGAGACGGTCGATATCCACTTGATTTTGCCTTGCAAGGCAAGAACACGAGGCAGGATATTGTTTTGGCATTACTTGAACACGGAGCAGAGACGCAGCTCATTAGCGGCGAGGCTCGAAGAAAGCTTAATCGGATTATTAGAGAGTCAACGGAACAGAAAGTCTCGACATGGGAAAGTAGAGGTTGGACGGAGTGCGGTTTGGAGACCCCTGAAGGCGTTAGATACGGACGAATGTACGATGGTGATGATTGAAAATGATTCAAGGACAACCGTGTTACTTCCCTGGACAGACGTTTTTACAACTACTTCTGTAAACCTTGATGAAATCTACCCGTCGTTATTCTCTGCTACGGCAGCCATCAAACATAAAAAACATGTGCATTGGTCGCCTGTTACGCTATTCCACGGGGAAATTGACCTTCCTATATTATAAAATGGTCTACTGCTCAGGTAGGAATAGATTGATTAGCAGGAAGTGCTCCGAGCCATATTATCTTCCATCCGCTTTTGCATTCAGACCGACTTTGAGAGTTCAACAAGACTCAGGACATCTCTAAATTCTATCATCAAACTTAAACATGATCCTGAATCGCCTCACACCAAGGCTTAAGACTTTGACCCCGAAAGGGAGTGCCATAGTGAACTCTATGTACATCCCACAAAATATAAAGTGACGTCGGATTCTTATCAATTCAATCAATTTTTCAGTTTTCGTCCTTCAATAATCCATTCATACACAAATTCAAGTCGCAATGCATTTGAAGAAGCTCGTGGTTGCGGCAGTCGCTGCCGTAAGCACTGTCCAGGCTTTGCCTCACAACGTTACCGCATCTAACGCCACCAGTACGGATATGTACGTTGAGTCCGTCCCAGTCAACACCACCATGACAGATGCCGGCGATGACGGACTTCAGGCAATGAGCCCTCCCCCTATCCACCACATTGAGGATCAAGCTTTCTACGACGTAATGCATGCATGCTATGCCCAATACAGAGAGATGCGTAGGCGATCCCCTCAGCCCCCTGAACGACCAGGTTTTCTTCGTGATTGTAGGAAACCTACTAACCAATATTTGCGTAACAGGTGGCTGGCCAGGTATGATTTGCAATGGCTATTTCTTTTATCGCGGCCATGATAAGACTTGGAAGAGTGAGGACGACTGTGTCCACCATCACGACCTCAGCTTTGAAGTCAACTTCCGCTACGCCAGAGCTGAAATGAAGCTAAATACATGGGTGAAATTGGCTCATTGCTGGACGGGATACTTTCGAAACGAAAAATAATACTAGGGTGGTTGGTGAGGAACCAGTTGCCTGGGCAGAAGTCACACTGGGTGCTTGGTTTCCCTTGGATCTCACTGGCGGTTCAGGTTTTCTTCTGTACTTGTCTTTACCCCAGGGTCCTTCCCTTTCTGTATTTGATTTACAGCGTTAATGAATTTCGGGATGAGGTAAGGGAAGCTATATGGGAAGAGCAACGGTGTTTCTGTCTTCTTTTTTACCGGATTTCCTCGATAGTAACCTCACAGGAAGCAAAGCTAGAAAAGTTTATGTTCTGGTGGTTATTTTAAGTTACAGGGACAGGATACTTGTAAATCAGTGTTCAAGTTGGGTTAGAACATGGTTATAATGAAAGCTAGATCTTGGCGAGCCCGCCTCGCTCCTCCGCAGATTCCCTTGCTATCAAGGTATCATTCGGGAAAAGCAAAGGATAGGTGGAAACGGTAGCTAAGCGATGCGTCAACTACCGTATCGAAAGTCAGCTAGTCTTCCGGTCTTCCGGAAGATAGTTTTGAAAACCTTGAACACCTTGTTATTTGCACCTTAGCCTGAGCGATTTGTGGCGCAGCTTCAAGTTAAACATGATTCTGTCGTATAAGCTAAGATATACGCTTCCTCTATCCTTACCAAATGCAGGAAAAAAGAGTCTGCTATAGTGCACGAATTACCAGCCATAAGCCACTCATTCGCGGTTCATTTCGTTGCAATTGATCTCGAGTAAGCGGAAAAGTAGGACTGCTTACTAGTTACTCGAGAAGAATGACCACCATGTGCTTTTGCGAGTCCTTCCTTAGTGTCTTATATGACACTGGTTGTGTACGCATTCAGCGTCATCGCTCCACCGCCAACGATAGACAAGTCAGATGCCAAAACCGATATTGTAATTCTTTGATTTCGTATAACGATTAAAGATAATAAGTTATGCATGTTGC